TGGGGAAACAAAACACTCCAGGACATGATTCCTTGAGTAAGACCTCAAAAGCACAGGCAACCAAAGCAAAAATGGATAAATGGGATCACATTAAGCTAAAAAGTTCCTGCAAAGGAAACAATCAACAAAGTGAAGTGGAAACCCACAGAATGGGAGAAGATATTTGCAAATTACCCATTCGACAAGGGATTAATAACTAGAATATATAAGGGGTTCAATAGGAAAAAATCAAATAACCCAATTTAAAAATGGGCAAAAGATCTGCATAGACATTTCTCAAAAGAAACCATGCAAATGGTCAACAGGTATATGAAAAAATGTTCAGCATCATTAGTTGCCAGAGAAATGCAAATCAAAACTGCAATGAGATTTCATCCCAGATAAAATGGCTTTTATCCAAAAGACAGGCAATATGAATGCTGGTGAGGATGTGGAGAAAGAGGAACCCTTGTACACTGTTGGTGGAAATGTAAATTAGTATAGCCACTATGGAGAACAGTATGGAAATTTCTCAAAAAAAAACTAAAAATAGAACTACCATATAATCCAGCAATCTCACTGCGGGGTATATCCAAAAGAAAGGAAATGAGTATATTGAAGAGATACCTGTATTCCCATGTTTATTGTAGCACTCTTGTAAATAGTACTGGAATAAACATGGGAATACACCTAAGTGTCCATCCATGGATGAATGGACAAAGAAAATGAGGTACATATACACAATGGAATATTATTCAGTTATAGAAAAGAACGAAATACTGTCATTTGTAGCATCATGAATGGAACTGGAGGACATTATGTTAAGTGAAATAAGCCGGGTACAGAAAGACATATTTCACATGTTCTTACTCACACGTGGGAACTAAAAATTTTAAGAGTGGAACTCACAGAGATAGAGAGAGTAGAATGATGGTGACCAGAGGCTGGGAAGGGCAGTGGACGGAGGGATAAAGTGGGAATGGTTCAGTAGGGTGATTATAGTCAACCATGCTTTATTGTATATTTTAAAATAACTAAGATAGTGGAATCGGAATGTTCCAAACACAAAATGATAAATGCTTGAGGTGATGGACACCCCAATTATCCTGATTTGATCATTACCTGTTGCATCAAAACATCCCATGTACCCCCAAAATGTGGACAACTATTATGTACCCATAATAATTAAAAATGAAAATTAAAAAAGAAAAAAGGAAACAGATTTAACTTTATTTCATGTGGCATTTTATGAACTTATGTTGTTTCTTGAGCAAGTCACTGTTCTCTAATAGGTTCTGTGAATACTTTGCACAAAAGACAAAGTTCTTGTCCTCATACAGAATAGCAGAAAGATCGAGGGTGTGTTTTCTAAACTTTACTTATTCCTGTGTCACCCACTCAATATTTGCCACATCTGCACGACACCAGTGCTATTATTTACTCAATGGTTTCTTTAAATTTGATAATTTAATTTAATATTTTCTTCACTTTGATAAATTCATTTGAAAAGAACAGTTATTAATAATAT